GTGATCATCGCTGCAATTTTTCACTGGTAATGTGCATCCTTAAAACGTTGTACACTGCAGTATAGGAAGTTGAATATTCATGCCATCGATGGTGCTTGGTATGATCTGAAAAGAATATCAGATTCAATGCTTGCGCAGTTGCCAGTATTATGCTGTGTGCCCTAAGTGTTTATGTGCAGTCATTGCCCTTATGGAACGCTTTCTTCTGGAGTTATTTTGGGAATGAAAAGTTGTTTATAAGATGTCATGTTTTATTTGAATCATTTTTATTGCGGCATTTATACAAAAAGGTATTTCTTGAGATCTCTTGAGCACTCCTTGTGATGAAATAGCACATTTTGTTTGTTATGAACTTGATTGTCCAGTGGTGGTCAACATGTTGTTGGCCATTTAAACTCTGAAGTGGGCGATTTAAATGAAGTAAATTAAATGCACTTACTGATTCCAAAAAGCTGGTTTAAATTGAAACTAGTGGACAGAATCGAAGTGAACATAAAAATCTTGCCAACCCAGATTGCAAGCTTTTCCAATCCATAAAAAACAAATTCTAAAAATTGAAAAACTTTTGCCTTGTACCCCTAAAATTTAATTTTCAAACAATTTATTTGATTTCGATCGTGATTTAAATAGGACAACCCTGGCAGGTTCATTATTTGGGCTGACTTAATAGACCTACCCCACACACACTGATATTATGTCTACGTAAAGCTTGCGCAGGTGGAGCTTTAAAATCTAGCCATCATGTTTCGAGTCATTTTGGTCACACTTATACATGTAGTTTCTGAGATATTGGTATTTGACATCTTAGCAGAAATGAGTACATGTATTTGTAACAATCCTCTTTGATGGTAGGGTGAGCAAAGGAGGTTGCACATGACTTCCATGTTTGGATCTTGGCATCAGCTTGTTTGATTTAATGCTATGCTCATCAGTGTTGATGGCAACCATATGTTGTATGGACTTAAACAGAAGTGTGAGTCTGGATATGGCTAGGTGGTTTTCCGGTGGTTCCCAGCCCGGTTTGGTTATCATAGAGGAAACTGCTGGTCTTTCTTGTGTCTTTGCAGACATATCTGTCTGATATGTTGTGCTGCATCCAACCTGTTTTTATGATGTTGTTTGTATCGTTCCCACATGGATGCGCGGTATTCCAGTTTTGGGCACACTGAGGTTTTTTAGGCTGTTTCTTTAGCCTTGCAGGGACAGCTGTACAGGTTCCTATGTACATGTAGAAGACCAAGGACTTTGTTTGCTTTGGTTGCTGTCCTGTTTATGTGGTATGCCAAATTCAATTTACAGTTGAGAACACCAAGGTGCCGGTACACGTACAGTGTAGGTGTGACTTATGACCGAGTTTAAGCCCTTGATGGCGGGATATTTTTACCGCATCCTACCAGACTGCTGGAATTAATTTTCCAATTTTGCTAACATGAACTGCAGACACCTAGATGGCCACCAGGCCTTATCTGCCAAGTTTGCTGGGTCACACACTGCACACAGCCTGGCTCTCTGTGGTCATGATTCTTGCTGGGGTATTTGGATCCCGTTCAACAGAATACCAGGCACCCAGCACTTGCCTTGCCCACTTTGTTTGGACCTTGTTTGCTTTGGTTGCTGTCCTGTTTATGTGGTCTGTCAAGTTCAATTTACTGTTGAGAACACCAAGGTACCGGTACATGTACAGTGTAGGTGTGATTTATATGAGAGTGCAGCGCCTCCTTAGTTCATATGGTCCATGCTTGCCACAGGCAGGCACTATGGCTTGTGTAAAATTTGCCTATTTTTTATTTTGCGCAAAGTTGGTACATAATTTTCTTGCATATTTTTAAGTTTTGTTTTTTGCATGTTGTATTCAAATCCCCTTTCTGTATGTAATGATATATAGAAAAACAGCCCCTTCTAATGAAACTTGAAACCATCCCATGAAAGTTATCCTTCCCAAATAATCTTCCCCATAATCATAAAATAAACAGACACAAGAAAAACACCAGACGTATTTTTCTCACTTTTCTTCTTCTCTTGACAACTTTATTTTTTTTTCTCTTCTCATATTTTCAATCATAAGTACACTTCTTTCTTCAAAACTTTCTTCAAAAAAAGAACCTTCCAGTGAAAAATTTAGCCCAAAAAAAAGAGAAAAAAAAGAGCGTAGTTGCATTACACAATGTCTTGAAATTGGAGAAAACTCTTGTGAAAAACTTGGCCAAAAAAGGACATAAAATGTCCTTGTACATGAATAAGTAAGTGATTCAAGTATAATAAACATTGAAGGAGCTCTCCCTGCAGGCCTTCATCGAGCTTCAAGCATCACAGGCCCCTACGCTCCACTACTGCCTTTGGGAGCATAGCTGAGCTTAGCACACCATAGCAGACCTTGGTGCTGCCATAGCGAAAGGATCTCTCTGGTGAGCACGTCTCTCCCTACGGGCCGCTTTGAGCATCGATTGGAGTGCGTGTGAGTAGTGTGTGCAGGCAGCTCGGGGCATGACTTGGCACCCTGCAGTCAGCTGGGTTCCCAGGTATTGGTTCGCTGTTACCTGCTGGGGTTTTCCAGTGAGCACGTCTCGCCCTTCGGGCGGCTTTAAGTTTCGAGTAACATGCAAGTGTGTGTCCCTTAGGGATTGTCTCAAAATGCGGAATGGTCAGAACGTTACCATTGGACGTTGGAATGCCGTGATTCTCATTCCGGAAAGGTCAGCCATTCCGTTGGGAATGCTACGTTCCTTTGTGAGAGCGGTCCGAGGGGAACACGTGTTTCCTTCGGAACATCTCCAGGTAGCTTCGTATTGCCCATGTACAAATCTTAGCCAAATCTTAGCCAATGATAGGCGAACCTTACAAGGTCCGGATTTCAATAAATACATATTTTTATACAGTCTGGCAGCATGAATACATGCTTGGGTGTTTTGGGATAAGAAATGGTTAAAGGTTTGCCAAGTGATGGGGAGCATAATTCTTCTAACAGGCTTGTTAAGAACAAAGTAATATGTAATGATTACACAGAGGCTCCAGTTTTGAAAAAGTTTTTTGACTGGTTTGAAGATCAAAACAGAACCCCAAATATGGTCCAGGTTAGGATGGCGATAAAATGATTAGTTTAGAAAGGACATTTTGTAACGTAAAATAATAATTATTCAGTGGGGAAGGGAAAAAAGGAAGCCCCATGTTGTCTGGCTCTAGATAGATGCTCAGATGGGAAACAATGCTTTTGGCAGATCAGACACTCAGAATAAAATTTCTGCAAAAGGTTTCAAGAAAAAAAAAGACACCACACGTAGTCCAGATTTGAGTAAAGAATAATTTCGTTGGGATGGGGACGAATAAAAAGAAAAGCAAAAACGTCTGTGTACATGTATACTGAGCAGGGAAATGA